CCTAATCTCCTTTCTCATTAAGACATGATTCACAGTGCTCATAACAAAGTTCATTCGCAATTTTAAACATAATTTCCAAGTATCACCAAATTCCAATTAAATTTGCATATACATTATTCAAAACCTTAATTTCATTATTCTACTTTCAATTTGGGTTAAATCTTTAGTTATCATCTTTAATCAACCTAGGGTTTCAAGAAAATATGGAGATTTCAAGAAATAATCAAACTTATTAACCCAACACTTTAATTCCAACTTTTCCATTGATTATACACCTAGGACTCATAATTCACCATTTTAACCCATTAATTAACTCCCAACATCTTCAAATGAAGAGTATTCAAACCCTTACCTCAATAATCAAGCAAAGAAGTGAGCTTGAGAAGAAGCCTTCACAAATCCAAGTTCTAATCGGGTAAAAACATCGATCCTCCCTTGTTCTCTATCCTTGATGCCAAAAACCATGGTGGATCGTGAGCAAAGTAAAGGGATTCAAGGATTTGGGGCTAGGGTTTCGGACTTAGGCGAAGAGGAAGGAAGAGGGAAGAAGAAAAATGTGAGAAATGATCCAAAATCCCGTTTTTAAAGCTGCTGTCCCGAAAATCCCGCTCGAGCGTTCCTATTCCCGCTCGAGCGGACCTGCTCTCAGCACAGATTCCAAAACTTCAAACAGATGTAACTCTCCCATCCGAACTCCGTTTTAGGTCGTTCTTGTGTCCAAATTGAAGCCCCGGAAATAAGCTTTCCAATGGTTCTAACCTCACATCCAAATTCCAAGTGTGGAACAAGAAAAGGGCAAAAGAGTGACGATTGGTCGTAAACGAATTATTCAAATTAAAGTTTTTGATCCAATCTTACTTTACCATCATATTATCATCTCAATCAATACTCCAAAATAAGATAAGGAGGTTATAAATACACTAATAAAAATGTCCAAAAACGAACCTACGTGCCTCAGAAATTTAAACTTAACCAGGAGACCCGCTCGAGCGCCCAACCTTGCGCTCGAGCGCGCAGACCAACAAGGTAGTCCGCTCGAGCGTCTAATCCCCCGCTCGAGCGGGAAATCACAACTCGCAGAATCTCAAGCCGCCTGCAAAATTTGCTGGGAACCCCAAAATTACGCTCGAGCGCCAACTATTCCGCTCGAGCGGAGGGAAAATTTTCAGGTTGCTTGGTAAAGGTCACCAATCTAGTTTCAAAGACATAATCCAACGGATAATTCTTCAATTCCAATGGCAAGCACATTAACCCCTAATTAAATAAGGATAACTTTCTATACGCACTTTGGGGGCATTACAATAGCTGTGGCATGGCGAGAAAGGGCCTCAAACTGATTGGCATACTGCGTCACAGTCATGCCCCCTTGTTTCAGTTGGAGAAATTCTTGGATCATCTCTTGCCTCACCGAGTTTGGGAAGTACTTTTTCATAAACAATTCCTCAAACTGTCTCCAAGATAGTTCTGCCACTTGACGACTTTTCTTGATCATTGTCCACCAGAAATCGGCCTCCCCCTCAAAGAGAAATGAGGCGAGGGACACTTGGTCTTGCTCATTCTGAATTTCTAGCGTCTCCAATATTTGCTTCACTTGCCTTATCCATGCCGAGTAGGGATTGGGTTCTCCGAAAAATTTCTGGGGCTTGAGTTTTTGAAATTTCGCTATTAATTCTGCCTTGTTGTTTTCAGGCCTGGGTTGGTTTCTTAGTTCATTAATAATTGCCCGAACGAAATTCATGACGTCACTGTTGGTGTTGTTGTCGTTGTTGTTGTCATTGAATCCATTTCCCCTAGTTCTTCCTGCCATTTTCTGTATGAAGGATATTAATTGTTTACTATCAGCACGATGTAAGTACTTATTTAATTATTTATTTTATGCGAACAAGCATTCACTAAGTTTAACTAGAACTGAAACTTTTCATTGCAACAAATGATCGGTTACATGACCAAAAATTACATTTATCACTAGACCGAGGGGATTATTTCACCCCATTTCATAACCACTATTAGACTAGGCTTTTACAATGAAATTCCAACAAAATAGTTTATCCGCCTAGTCTACCCTCTTCAGTCTTTCCTCTCAAACAAAAAGCCATGGGTAGTGTTGATTCATTTGCCAGGCATGCTCCCAACTCTCATCATATAGCTCATAGCACTTCCAACGGACTAACAGCTTGAGCCCTCTCATTCCCGCATGTTGGCCCAAGATACTTACAAGGACTTTGTCGTAGGTGAGTGGGTCGGAGAAGTCGATTGTCCCGTTCGTGGGTACGAGCTTTCCAACCGGTGGGGCTGCCAGGAAGATGTCTCGTTGGTGGAAGAAATTGGTGTAATTGTCTTCCAGGGCTGGTGGTCGAGGTCCTACTTCATACATGGCCCTTGCCAACTCCCGGATAACTCGCACAGGCCCCAGATATTTGTCGTCCCCCCTTCGGTGTTTCCATTCGCAAGGTATTAGTGGTTCTAGCTTAACATATGCCTCTAGCCCTATCGGGAATGCCCTCATCTGCACTATGTTCCCTGAGTCCGTTTCACCTTCTTCGAAGGCATATTCAATTGAGGAGATGGGGTTGGACTCAATGTCACTTCCCGCCCAACCAAACTCTTCCGGTGGAATGGCGGCCAAGGGTTCCACGACTTCCACTTCCGCGTCTACCTATGCGTCTTCTTCGTCTAGCGGTTCTTCTTTTGGATATTCCTCCAGATCTTCCTCCTCAGGCTCGGGCTCCTCTTCATTCTCTTTATCCATCGTCTCCTCATGGACTGACTTTGAAGTTTTCGCTCCTGCCTCTGGGTTGGTTAATAAGGGTTCTTGTTCAGGTTCGGGATCCGAGAGCCAGTCCTCGTTATGAGATGGGCTTGGCATCCTACAAGGAGAATACAACGTTGTTACACTCTCAGTATGGTCTTAGGTCATCGAATGTTTTTTAATTAAAGTGTAGTAAATGACACGTGCTTAAGTAACATTTGAATATTTGACTAAGGGGGAGTCAGAATTGCCTGTGGCCATTGCTTAGCGGTTGAGTGGAAATAGTGCTCCGCGGGGAGTTACTTAAACTTACCTATTAAACTAAATCTATGTGAATTTAAAAAGAAAGGTTGGCATTTTTCCTTATTATGAAATACTACTTCCGCTTGTCATTGTTTTTATTGTTTATTGTTAATATTTCAACCAATAGTATTCCGGTTATGTTTGTTAAATGTTGTTTGTTATTTTGTTATTCCACAATATTTATTATTTGTGAGTATTATTATCGGGGTGGGTATTTTCGGGTTGTAGTATCTTATTGAGCTCGTCGCTCATTGGCATTCTCATTGCCCTGGCGTTTTATGCCAGGTATCGAAGAAACCGAAGGAAGCGCCGAGGCCTTGCAAGGCAACATTCAGCCTTGGTTAGCTTGAAGAATGCCCACGATTCCATGAACCATTTTCCTAGTTTTATTTTTTTATATTTATATTTGTGTTTTTTTTTTTTTTTTTTTTTTTTTCTAAGACTAAGTTTTAAGTTTATTTGGAGTTATAACTTAAGAACTTTTAATTTATGGGATGTTAGTTAATAGATGTTGGTATACTTGATGGCAACATTAAGGAAGAGTCCTTAATTAAGAAAATTAAATTTTAAGTTCTAAATCTTATTATGATGTCCTTAAATTTTGAGACGTCACAACATGGTATCAGAGTTTAGGTCTAGAAACCCTTGAGACCTTAGGTAGGCTTAAGCATGTATCATTTACTACACTTTAATTAAAAACATTTGATTACCTAAGAGCATACTGAGGGTATAACAATGTTGTATTCTCCTTGAGAATGTCAAGCCCATCTCATAACGAGGACTGGCTCTCGGATCCCGAACCTGAAGAAGAACCCTTATTAACTGACCCAGAGGTAGGGGCGGAAACTTTAGAGTCAGTCCATGAGGAAGAGGACCCGGATGAGTATCCAGAAGAGGAGACGATGGATGAAGAGGAACCCGAGCCTGAAGAGGAAGATCCGGAGGGATATCCAGAAGAAGAACCGCTAGACAAAGAAGACGCAGAGGTAGACGCGGAAGTGGAAGTCGTGAAACCCTTGGCCGCCATTCCGCAGGAAGAGTTTGGTTGGGGGGGAAGTGACATTGAGTTCAACCCATCTCCTCAATTGAATATGCCTTCGAAGAAGGTGAAGCGGACTCGGGGAACGTAGTGCAGAAGGGGGCATTCCCAATAGGGCTAGAGGCGTATGTTAAGCTGGAACCACTAATACCTTGTGAGTGGAAACACCGAAGGGGGGACAACAAATATCTGGGGCCTGTGCGAGTTGTCCGAGAGTTGGCAAGGGCCATGTATGAAGTAGGACCGCTACCACCAGCCCTGGAAGACAATTACACCAATTTCTTCCACCAACGAGACATTTTCCTGGCATCCCCACCGGCTAGAAAGCTCGTACCCATGAACGGGACAGTCGACTTCTTCGACCCACTCACCTACGAAGAAGTCCTTGTAAGGATCTTGGGCCAACATGCGGGAATGGGAGGGCTTAAGCGGTTAGTCCGTTGGAAGTGCTATGGGCTGTATGATGAGAGTTGGGAGCATGCCTGGCAAATGCATCAGTACTACCCATGGCTTTTTGTTTGAGGGGAGGAGAGACTGAAGAGGGTAGACTAGGCGGGTAAACAATTTTGTTGGAATTTCATTGTAAAAGCCTAGTCTAATAGTGGTTATGAAATGGGGTGAAATAATCCTCCCGGTCTGGTGATAAATGTAATTTTTGGTCATGTAACCGATCCTTTGTTGCAATGAAAAGTTTCAGTTCTAGTTAAACTTAGTGAATGCTTGTTCGCATAAAATAAATAATTAAATAAGTACTTACATCGTGCCGATAGTAAATAATTAATATCCTTTATGCAAAAAATGGCAGGAAGAACTAGGGGAAATGGATTCAATGACAACAACAACGACAACACCACCAATAGTGACGTCATGAATTTCGTTCGGGCAATTACCAATGAACTAAGAAACCAACCCAGGCGTGAAAACAGCAAGGCAGAGTTAATAGCGAAATTTCAAAAACTCAAGCCCCAGAAATTTTTCGGAGAACCCAATCCCTACTCGGCATGGATAAGGCAAGTGAAGAAAATATTGGAGACGTTAGAAATTCAGAATGAGCAAGACCAAGTGTCCCTCGCCTCATTTCTCTTCGAGGGGGTGGCCGATTTTTGGTGGACAATGATCAAGGAAAGTCGTCAAGTGGCAGAACTATCTTGGAGACAGTTCGAGGAATTGTTTATGGAAAAGTACTTCCCAAACTCGGTGAGGCAAGAAATGATTCGAGAATTTCTCAAACTGAAACAAGGGGGCATGACTGTGACATAGTATGCCAATCGGTTTGAGGCCCTTTCTCGCCATGTCACAGCTATAGTGACAAATGAAATAGACAAGGTAAGGTGCTTTGAGTGGGGACTCAACTCAGGACTCCGAGACAAGCTGGTCGCAGTGCAGCTATCTACTTATGTGCAGGTAGTAGATAGGGCTCTTGCTCTAGAAAGAGAGAAGATGGACACTGCAAGGACTCAAGGTCAGCAGTCTAGAGCCAACCAGCAAAGAAGCGAAGGACCCTCAAGGAACAATAGGACCCCTGCTGCTTCGATACCTTATGCTAGGGGGGCACAACAACAACAAGGGTATAATCCTGAACAGCGTAGTAGGGAAGGGGCTAGGAGGTGTTATGAATGTGGCCAAGAAGGACACCTTAGAAACAACTGTCCTCAAAGGTTAGGCTACTACATTAATCAAGGAGGGGCCACTCAACGAAACAGATGGAACAGAGAATACCAAAGAAATGTGCAGCTATTTGTGAGGAAGTAAAGATGAGCATTAGGTGTAAGTATCAAATTCTTTAAAAATGGTATGCATCCGATTACCATCGATAACATCTGAAACAAAGTCATACATACCAAACTTTAGAGAGAGCACAGAGAGAGAAAAGAATAGAGCGAAAGAGAGCAGACCGAGAGAGAGAGAGGGCAAATAGAGAGAGGGGTACGTACGGATGATGAGGAGACCAGCGGTGGTGAGCGGAGAACAGCAACGGCGAGTGAAGAGCAGTGGCGATTGGCGATGGTGTTTGGGTGTGAATGAGAGCAGCGGCAATCGGCGATGATGTTTGGGTGTTTGGGTGTAAATGAGAGCAGCGGCGAATCAACGATGATGTGTGAATGAGATGAGATGTTTTGGGCATCAATTAGGGCTAATTAAGGAAGTATTGCGTGTGAGAGAGTATATTTACATTTGCTGCCATGTGTTTGTATTGTATATACAACAGTAGACTTTGAAATATTGATAGGCGGGTCGGGTCGGTTGTTTACGCGAGTTGGCAATTTTCAAACCGCCACCCGCGCCGACCCGCCACTCTTGCCACTCTTGGAAGTCCCACCCGTCCAACCCGCTCGCCAGAGTTGAAAAAATGTACGGTTCGGAGCAGTTCGGAGCAATTCAGAGCGGTTTTGGCGGTATTGTGCACAGCCCTAACTACGGCATTGTGATCGTAATTGACGTCATTGATCTTGGAGCTGACGACGGCTTTGATTTCTACGTTCTACCTCACCTTCGGGAGAATATTGAGGAGGTAGCACCTGAAGTAGAACATCCTCAAGAGGAGTCATCTAGCTCAGAGGCTGCTATATCGGACATCATGCCGCCGAATAATATTTTGGAGATCGTTACCACTAGGAAGCATCAAAGGGATGGTGAGTTTGCCTCAGCCTTCCAAGCTGTTCTGATTCTACCACTTCTGATCGGCCCCAGCAATCACTAATTGTGGTAGTAGATGATTCTCCTCCTCCTGCCGCAGCCACTACTGAGAACACTCCTTCCAAACCTTCGGGCCAGAGATTGGGCAAGTGTCCTGCTGATCAAGCAACTCCGTAAGAAGATCCTTTTGTTGTTGTTGCTCCTTCTCCAGCCTCTATTTCGGAGATGGCAACCATTGGTTCTTTGATCATCCTTTTGCTTGCTATGAAGGATCGTCAAAAAACCAATGCTGACACGGCTATGGGTAACGCTAAAGTCGCTTCTGTAATTATCCGCACCTCTATCTCTATGCAGACGCTGCTTGGTTGGCTGAGCAGTCTGATGTAGGCGTTTTCTCGCAGGTCTTACCATCATCTTGTTTTAAGGTGTTCGTGAATTTCTGTCAACCTTATGCCTTTCTTTCTTTTGTTTTTACAGGGCCTATTCTCTGCCTACAAGGCCATGGTTCACCATGACAAAATAATCAAAGGCAGCTGACAAACTAAAGGCCTCAACCATAGTTGTCAAATCGGGATTCGTATCGTGAATCGAAATGGTCTCGTACCGAATCGTGAATCAAATCGTGAATCGTAAAGATTCGGTCACTTCTTCTAAATTATTTAAAAACATATATTTACACATTTAGATGTTAAATATATCTTATGAATATAAAATATTTAGACTTACGTTAATAAAAATGTTATTTTGAATGATAATCACATAGTTTAATAAGTAAGAAGTTAACAAACGTTCTTATGTAAGATTACCATCTTACCTTTTTTTTCTTTTTTAGATATTTCTTATCAACTATTCTTAATAAAAATAATAACCAAATACACAAATTATCAATTTCTAAAGTAGTAATAATTAACGATATTGATATTTGGATAATAAGCATACATACTTTTCTAAGTAACAGTGAGCAAATAATAAGAAAAAATCATTTAGAATCTTTTTTTTTAAAGCCTAAAATATTTTAAAAAGTATAACTGACTTCATACATGTAATATTTAATTTAATAAAATAGTAATAGATAATTCATAGTATAATTTTAATCTTAAACATCTTTAGAAGGTATATTACCA